TCATAGAATGTGGAATATCAGTTCATATACAATAATCAAAAAATGTGAACATCTGATTGCCGTTAACGTTCACTAATTGTTTTATAAAAATTAAAGAGTATTTTCTAAGATCTCTGATAATTCCTCTATATTTATTTATAAAATAAATGGGATTGAAAAGCTGTTTCATCATTATATCTTATTTTATCTTAGTACTAAAAAATCACTTGTGAGTTAAAATTTAAAGATTACGACTAAGAAGATATCTCATAACTATTCCTGATATATCAGGGTGGTCAAGTGTATTTTCCAATCTTTTGAAATATACAGTATTTTCTCTATAGTATGCAGAAACATCAAAATGGACTATATAAGCATCTCCTATATCTATCTTAATTAGAGCATTTTTGTAACTATATACCTTACATAATTATTTATTCGTAAAGTTTCAAGGTCTTTACGTTCTATAGTTACTTTTCCTTTATTATGAGAAATTTGAAATGTTTATTAAACCTTGACCATTTCTTATTAAACATCCTAATCTTATTCATAACAATAAGTTTTTCATGCTTGAAAAGTACTATTAAAATGTCTAAGAATTTTATCCTAAATCTGATGTTACAAAATGAAGATACTTTTCTAAGACTACTGTTATAGTATGGATTTTAATACTAAGATTATTCAATTCTTATTCTTCTTTTTTGACTTTTACATTAAAGATGCCTACTAGTTTCAAATATACTCATTAAGTTCTTTATTTCCATCACAAATTATATTTAATACATACCAGAGAATTAGATTTATAATTTCATTATTAATTTCTGATACTAGCTTAGCCAAAATCCTAGAAATAGGTTAAGAAAATTTGTAATTAGTTAAGGAGTATTCAGGAAATATGAAAGAAAATTGATGTCTTTATAATTTATTAGATCTTTAATAATTGTTTGATCTATCAATAATTTTAATTTTACTGATATATCCCCATATTCTATTATTATGATCTCAAATTTGATGAGCTTTAATTCAGGGTCCTATACTGAAATAAAGTCCATTTTCTGAATCTTCATGTTTTAGTAATCATATTGATATTTTCTTGTTAATTGGATTACTTCATAAATTTCAATGCGAGAGAATTTTTTTCCTGAAATATACATATATATTAAATTCTATAATACAAAATGATTATTCAGATTTGAAATTCTAGATTGTCTTATTTTTACTGATGCTAAAAGGCTTTTTTTCTGACTTAAAACTGATTCGTTAAGAATGAGTTTATTGAAGAATTTCTCGCTCTGAATTTTTGTTCCTAATTTACACAATAACAATAAAAGCTATATAATATTTTATTTTGAATAATATATGCATTTTATTAATATATTTCCAGTCATATAGTAAATAATGTGATTGGGATTTACATTTAAGAGAAAATATCAGGAGATATTTTCAATAGATATAAAAGATCAAATCCTTCAATGTCAGTCTCTTCAAGCAAATTCTTTAATAGTTTGAATTCAACCTAATGGTGTCATTATCTATACTAGGATATCTTAGTAATTTTATTTTAGGAATAACTAATAAAAACTTTTTATGACTTTTGATTCATCATTTGATGAACGAATCATAAAGTTAAAGATAATTCTATTCTTTAGATAAATAGCTTTTTTTCATACAAACATATTCGTCTGTTTTTTCATTGTATTTGGACAATCCAATTATTTACAAGGAAAATAATCATTTATTTGCAATATTATCAATAATACTTTTCTTCTATAATTCTACTAGGAGTTTCTTGTGAACAAATTCAGTAAATACTGCAATCTAAATAACATTTTTAAGTCTTATACCAGTAGTAAAAATGTGGAAAGATATTTTATTATCTTCACTATTACTAACAACAGTTATACTTTTTTGTCCTACTTCAGATTTATTTTCTGAAGCATAACGAAGGACATTTTACTTCTAGGTTATTTAAATGCAAGGTCATTCTGTCTGTCCAAATTTGGCAAGCCTGATAGGCCAATGACATTTTGTTTACGTTATCATGTGTTATGTCTTTTGTGTTACAAAATAATTAATCATGTGAAATATGATATTATAATTTACAGTGTTGGATTATGACCTTAAATGACCTATATGACCAATATGACCAGTCATAGGTCATTTGGTCATTTTTAGTATATTGGGTCATATGACTTTAATTTTATAATCAACCAATTAAATAATAGTATTAAATTATAGATTGGAGATTATGATTTTTTAAATAAAAATTATTAAATCAATATTTAATTGTACATTTATATAAAACTTTGAAGTTAACTGTATATAATATATGTAAAAAAAACTTTATTTATTTATAACTAATCTTTATGCATCAGTAAATATTTTATCTGAACCTAAAAATGAAGACAATTCTAAAGAACATTCAAATAAAGAATTTAAAATCCATTTAGCTGTTTCATTATCAGCAGGATGTATTTCATGACTTTCTAAATTAAAATCCCTATTCCATTCTTCCAATAAAAAAATTTCATCATCATGATTTTCAAATTAATTTTCATAATTTCCTAATTCTATCCATTTTTTAATACATTTCTTCATTATCTGATTCATATTTTTTAGTTTCATCAATTTCATTATCAGGACAATTGGTGTAGCTATATGAAGTTGTAATATTTCTTGTTCACAATTTCTAGCTTCTTTAATTTTACAAGTATATAAGATATCACTTCGAATTTGACTCATAGCTAAAACTTTTTTTGCTATATTTTTAAAAAGTTAGTATTAAAATAAATAATTAACATAAATTTAAAATTAATAAAAAAATATATCACCTGTAACCGATTCCGTCTATTAGTATGTAAATAACCCATATTTGACCATAATCGTTCTACTGAAGCAGAATTAACACAAATTCTATGAATATGAGTTGCAATACGAGCTAATTCAGGACTTACACCACTTGTTGATTCCCAAAAATCTATCAAATTATTTTTAAATTGATTAAAAGAATCCATATTGTATAGACCTTCCTCTCTTTTATATTTAATCAATTTAGCTAAAATTGAAACTAATTTAGAATTAAACCATGATTCATAATAATATTTCACCTATTGTCCAATATAAGTCCAAGTTAAATTTTGAGTTGTTGAACGAAATTTTTGTAATTTATGGGATGAGTGAAGTGCAAAGGAAAGAATTAAAAGTGGTTGTTCCCATTCCCTCCAACGAGATTCCATTCTTGCTACCATTTTTAAACCAAATTCAAAGTTGTGATGATTATTTAAAATTTTAGTAGTATAAGCAAAACAGTGTAAAACTTCATAAAGTCACGCAGTATTCTTTTGTAATTTATTAAGAAATCCACAAAGTAGATATAATAAATTTTGCAATTCAAATAATATAGCCCAAAATTCTGAATTATTGATAATATCAGTAATATCATCAGAAAATTTTCTATTACCACTTCGATCAGTTAACTTTTTATTTGCTGGTATACTTGTAATACTATTATTTCTTGTAACATTTGTTCAGCTATCATTAAATTTTGCTGAAAAAAACTATAAATAATAAAATTTAATTTTACATTTACATTTACATATTAAATTAAATAAATATATTTAATATAAAAAATATTAATAAAATACCTTAAGCGCGGATTGTGTTTTTAAAATTGAATAAAAACAAAAATAGTATGAGTTCCATCTTGTATCTTCAGGTGTAATTAATGAAATTGTTTTTTATATATACGCATTTATTCATCTTTAAGATTTTCAGTAAAAAAAGGTGAATTATGAAAAAAACTGACAATTTGTATGGCTTCTTTAGATACCCTTTGATATAATTCAGATTCCTTAAATATTTCTCCAAAAATTAAATTCATCTGGTGAGCCATGCATAGTAAAAAGATTTTAGATAGATACTTTCTTCTTAATTGGCGTCTAATATTAAATATACAGTATCAGTATATATATATTAGTTTATAAATTAAAAATTACATATTATTTTATATAATAAAGTAAGATAAAAGTAAAGTAGATTAAAAAATTTATTGATTTTTTTTATTTACGAAAACAAAAAAAAATTAAAATCAAAATTCTATTTAATAACTATTATTAATTTACATAAATAAATTTAATATAATAATTAAGTATCATACCGAACAGCAGCATATTCTCCTGCTGAGTCAGAAATAAAAGCTTTAATATTAATATATTTTTCATCAACTTCGGACATTAAACTTTCAATATGTTTAATAATATTTTCGGTTTTAGATCTTTCTGCACTTATATCATATGCACCCCATACTAACAGTTATCCTGATGTAGTTATTAATACTACTTTCCATAAATGCTCTTGCTTTACGTTAGTTCAACCATCAAATGTCGCAGTTACACCATATTGATCATTTTTAGCAATTTTGATTATATTTTCTTGTAATGTTTGTGAATAATCATTTAATACCTTTCCACTTATAGCTTTTTGTTTGGTAGTTCAATTCCGGGTGAGATAAATTGAAAAATAGCAATAGTATTCTCATTTTCAATAAATGTAAAAGACAATATATTTGATATAATCATACGAAGTAATAATTGATAAAATCATGGTTTGTCATTTGATGACATTGGTCGGTAAAAATAGTTGGAAATTGCTGATTGGTAAGAAAAAGAAGAAGTTATTGAAGTTGAAAATTTTCATTGTTTAGCTAAAGTGAATGTTTCATTAAGATCATTATCATCATCTATAGTTTAAAATTATTGTAAATAGATTATATATTAAATTATTACATATTTAAATTATAAAAAAAAAATCATACCATTTGTAATTCCTTCATTTATTCTTTTATGTTTTTTTATATCTTCTGGAGTTGGTAAAGCCAAATTCCTTTGCACTTCTTTATCAGTATTGTATTCACGAAAATTTTGGCATTTTAATAAATGGCCATGACATAAATACACATGATTTACAGTATAACATTCAGACTTAAGTTGAGCCGCTCCCAAACTACCATGTTTAGCTATACACTAATTACAAACTGCTAAAGCATTCGTAGCATTATTGGCATTTTTACTAAGGTAAAAAAAGGTTGAAAGTTATGTGGCTGCTTGGTTGACATTTTTTTTTGCGAAGTTAAATGATATGCTAGATTAAGATTAATCAGATTGATTAGTGATAGCGTAACTTTAATTAAATCAAATTATTTAAAATTAATTAACATATTTTTATTAAGCCAGTTAGTTGGTTAATTATTAGAGATCATATGACTAATGATCAAATGATCTTTAACTAATGGTCATAACGATCATATGACTAGGAGTCATATAGTTATGACCAAATGATCATATGACTATCGGTCATATGGGCATATGATCAAGGTCATTTAAAAATTTTCATATGACCTGGTCATTGTCTAACACTAATAATTTATATACCATGCTTCAGACTTTGAACGGATCCCGTTCTCTAGTTTTTAAACAAACTTCTCTAAAAGTTATTTAAACAGCATCATAGACTTTCTTACGCAAAATTTAGGAGAAATAGCATTTAATATTTCTACTGATAAATCAAAATCAATAACAGGATAGAGTAGCTCCTCTCTATAAATAAATTCATCTAAGAAATGACTATCATGCTCTAAAAGCATAACTTCTATTCTATTTTCATTATTCATATCAAGAAATTGTCTAATCTAACATTATCATTATGAATTTTATTTAGAAGTATTGAATTTGCAATAATATGAGATAAGAGTAGGACCCTGAACTATACTAATATAACTCATATTTGAGTTTACGTAGAGTTTATATGTAAACTTTATCAAAAGTTGCTTATTTTTACAAATATACTTATCCTACATACCCCATTATCTCAATAATAAGTGATTAAATTTAATGAATTTATTACCATTAGATTTGTCTAACTGAGAGGAATCTAATGGTAGTAATTTTATCTTTCTAGCATTAATATTGATCGAGTTATACTATACAATGTAATTTTAATTATGTGTTTGTACTACATTTATGAGTTTTATTAGTAAAGTTTGGGGTCCTGTGAGAGCATTAAAAAACTCTAAAAGCTTTGATTAAAATATTATATTATATCACAAATAAACAGTTTAAGAGAAAGTATATATTCTGAAAGAAAAAAGTTTAAAATGAAAATTAATTGTGAAATATATATAAATCAACTATTCATAGTTATTAAAAATGGTATTTTATTGATATACTTATATTTATAGGAGTGGTAAGATTTTTAATCAGGATTGCTACCATCTGAAAGGATATTATATTTATTGTAATTTCTTCTCAGATACCTTGTAATAATGTGATAGATTAACTTATTTAAAATATGGATTTTATGATATTCATACTAAAAATATCATAAAAAGAAATAATATTATTAGAAAAAGTTGGCTGACTTAACTTTAACGCAAATACTGATAGGTAATTTAGAGGTAAACAAAGAATATATAAGTATCTCTGGAGGCATATAATGCTGATAATAATTATCAGCAGTTATCAGCAATAAAAAATTGCTACTGACACATTTTTTGAAAATTTAAAAGTGTTCTAACTATTTTCTGATAAGTGTTAATAGTATCAATAGTATTAGTAACTAAATTTTTTGAATCTAACTTTTTTATTTTGTTTTTTCAGAAGGTCTGTCTTAAAAAAATTCAGTCACTATATTCACAATATATAACATATAAAAAAATATAATTTATTTTATATTTCCTATATTATATTACTAATACTACTAATACTAATAACAAAAATAGAAAAGAAATAAAGCATCTTAAAAATCTTAAGAAAAATATTGGAGCTATCAGTAGTTAAAAAATTCTACTATTGATAACTGTTGACAATTACTGATAATTTTCTCTAGGGATACTTAAAAATAGCATACTTATTGTCTTAATCCAATTTAACCTATGATCAAGTTCAAAAGTGATGAAGAAGTATCAAAACTTAAGGCATAGTAAATCAACAATAAATTTTAGCCAGTACTATTTCATAATTTTAGCCAGAATTTTAGACACAATAACTTAGCATCTAAGCTAGCATAAAAGTTATGAATTAATAAAACTATTCTAGCATCTTACCAGTTCCTTATTAGCTTCATGACGCTACCATGATGCTGAATTGGATCTAAAATTCTGAATGAGCTGAGCCAACTTTCGAGTCAAATGAGTTAAGTTAGTTGAATCAAGTCATAAAAAATTTGACTTGTTTAACTTGAGTTAAATTTCAAGTTAAGCTTGACTTGATTCGAGATAATTTGAGCTAAACTCAAGCCTAAAGTTAAGTAAAGCTTGAGCACAAACTTGAGCTGAAAAATTTAACTTATATTTTTAAAGAAAGTATAAAAAATCGTTCAGATAGAATGTTATACATAGTTTTAAAAGAACAATAGAAGTTTCATTCTGATAGAACAATAAATCATCATTTTAGGAATGATAAAAAAAAATCATTCTGATAAAACTATAGTATATCATTCTTAGAGAATGATAGAAGAATCATTCTGATAGAATAATAATATATTGTTCCATAGAATGATAATGTATTGTTCTAAAGAAATGATAGAAAGAATTATTCTGATAGAATAATAATATATTGTTCTTAAAGGAATAATAAAAAGAATCGTTCTGATAGAATAATGAAAGTTATTATTTCTTTAGAATGATTCAATTATCATTCCTTAGAATGATTTATTATAAATCTTAAGAAACGATCTATTATTGTTTTTAAGGAATGATTTTATTTATTGTTCTATTAGAATGTCCTTTAGAATGATGCATTATTATTCTATCAGAATGATTCAATTATTATTTTATCAGAACGATTCTTTTATCATTCCTTTAAAATGATTTATTATCATTCTTAAGGAATAATTCTTTCTATCGTTCCAAAAAAATGATTTATTATTATTCTATTGGAATGATTCTTTCTATCGTTCCTTTACAATGATTTATTATCATTCCTTTATGATCTATTATCATTTTTAAGGAATAATTTGATTATTATTTCAAAAAAAATGATTTATTATCATTCTTAAAAAATGATTTTATTTATCATTTCTTTAGAATGATATTTAATCATTCTTAAAGAATGATTCTTTATATCATTCCTTTAGAATGATGCATTATCATTCCTTTAGAATGATGCATTATCATTCTTAAAGAACAATTCTTTTATCATTCCTTTAGAATAATCTATTATCATTCTATTAGAATAATTCTTTTTATTATTCCTTTAGAATGATACATTATTATTCTTAAGAAATGATTCTTTTATTATTCCTTTAGAATGATCTATTATAGTTCTTAAGAAACGATTTGATTATCATTCCAAAAAGAATAATTTATTACCATTTTATTAGAATGATTCTTTCTATTATTCCTTTAGAATAATGTTTAATCATTCTATTGAAATGATTCTTCTATCGTTTATTAGAACGATTCTTCTATCATTCTATTAGAATGATTCTTCTATCATTCTATTAGAATGATTCTTCTATCATTCTATTAGAATGATTCTTCTATCATTCTATTAAAATAATTCTTTTTATTGTTCTTTTAGAATAATGTTTTATTATTCTATCAGAATGATTTTATTTATCATTCATTTAGAACGATCCCTATAAGAAATCGAAATAAGGAAATGATACGTTTTTTATAAGGTTTGTATACGTAATTAATGATTCTATATCA